GTGTGTGTGTGTGTGTGTGTGTGTGTGTGTGTGTGTGTGTGTGTGTGTGTGTGTGTGTGTGTGTGTGTGTGTGTGTGTGTGTGTGTGTGTAAAGGGTGTGGTTCCCTTTAATGAATAATCCCTAATGGCCTGTATTTAGCTCCGTGGTTTCTTTGACGGGCACATAAACCCCCACGTCGACCAGTCAGTGCTTCTGATTCTTTGTTTATTCGACCACCCACAACTTTTCTACAAGAGGATGACGTTCTTTGTGGTTTTTGTGTTTCCCAGAATAAGTCCTGGCAGAAGCTGAAGACGATGGTTCACTGGTCCCCCTTCGTTGTGTCTTTCAAGAAGCGTTACCCATGGGTGCAGCTCGCTGGCCATGCAGGTAGGAATACATACAGAGTGACATATCTCTGAATAATATGGATTCATGTTTATTCTTCATCCTCATTATTCAAAGAAATGTTTTTGGTTGGAAAAATGAGAAGATTAACTTAAATGTTTTTGTTAGATACAAGGTTAAAGCCAACAGCCAGGTAGCTTAGCATAAAGAATGGAAACAGGGGGAAACAGATACAAAGATAATAAACCCTGTTGACACCATCAGGGCATATAAAGCTCACAAATTATCATATTATACATGGTTTGTTTAATCGGTGTTATTTATAATGACAAGCTGTGGTTTCTGAGATCTGGAGTAAACATGAGAAAAGTATCAATCTCCTCATCCAATTCCCTCAAGTGTATTTCCCAGAATGCCAAATGTTCATTCTGTCTCTTCTCCAAGGTAACTTCCAGGCGGGGGAGTACGGACGTTTGTTGAAACGATACTGTGAGTGTGAGCACCAGTGTCTACAGAAGCTGATGAAGGACACTCTGCGGCCATATGTGCCTGGTTACTACGGCGTTGTGCAGCGAGATGAGCAGGACTATAACCTGATGGATGACCTGCTGGCTGACTTTGACTCGCCCTCCATCATGGATTGTAAGATGGGCAGCAGGTAAGAAAGTCTTACTGTATAAGAAACTGCAGAAGAGAGTTTATCAGAGCCTATTGTGTTTTTGGGAGATAAAGAGGTTCTTTAAAATGAACATTTATACACATATAGGCCTTAACATGTGTTACTACCAGCAGTTTTCTGCCTAACCATCATACCTTGCAATAAAAGTAGCTGTATTCATCGTCAGCAAAGTAGTTTACAGGAATAAAAGTGCACTGCAAGGATATAAAATCATACAGAAAAAAGTAAATTGAATAAAATCAAATGTAAAATACATTCTTAATGATTCATTTGAGAAATTAAATGTCAACCCTTTACTTTTTAGGACATACTTGGAAGAGGAGCTGATAAAAGCCAGAGAGCGTCCACGTCTGCGGAAGGACATGTACGAGAAGATGGTCGCGGTGGACCCCGGGGCCCCTACAGAGCAGGAGAGGGCCCAGCAGGGCATCCTCAAGCCCAGATACATGCAGTGGAGGGAGACGCTCAGCTCGACGGCCACTCTGGGATTCCGCATCGAAGGCATTAAGGTCAGAGGTCACACTGGAACACCCAGCACTGGGAACATTCAAGTCAGTGTTACCAAAGAGAACAAATAGTTTCCGCCAGAAGTAAACCAATTAATGGGAGTAAATATTTATCAGGTTGTTCACTGGATAGACCACACACACACACACACAC